AATTTGGCAGCTCTCGGTGCCAATTTGGGAGTGCACGAGCAGCTGTGCCATCGCACATGCAGGTCACCATGGTACCAGATGCCAGGGAAAGGAGATGGTGCTCTGCACAGAGGCTCAGAACACCAAAGTCTCCTGAACACTGCATTTTTCCACTGTATGCTTTAAAAAAAAAAGCTTGTAAAATGACTTATCTGGGTTAGGCAAGAGCGGGCAAGACTTGTCTGGATTAGGTGCCCAGCGCTGCTTTACGGAGGGCTATGAGTGAAAAACACTGCAGCAGGAAACATCAGAGCGGCTTTAGGGAAGAGGGACGTGTCAGAGGTGGGTTTTGTGCTGAGCATTCCCTGGAGAAAAGCCGTCAGGAACGGGTGCAGAGATGCATCCCGCACTGCCAGCAGCACGCAAACTCGACCTCACAGAGGGGCTGGAGGGGGCTAGCTCAGACAGGCAGAAAATTGAGAGGGGCAGAATAAATGTTTTTCATGCCTGCACGTAATTTATTTGGTTTCCCACATCTTTATGTAAAGCATCTGACACCAGCCCGGTGTGAGAGAGGCGACTCAGACAGACATCCATTGCAGCAGGATGATAGAAAACAGAGGAAAAGGCCCACGGAGGACTTCCAAGCGACTGACCCTGCATGGCAATTCCTGCAGAGCTTCCAAACAGGTCAGGTTCTTTGGTTTAAGTCACTTTTGTTTCTCTCGTCCCTCTGAACAAGGGTATTGCTCCAGCTGTGATGCCGCAGGGCTGTCAGCAAGGCAGGTTGTAGGAACAGGCTGTGTCTCTAGTCAGAGGAACTGATGTATTTAGAAGAAATGGATGTGTTTCGGACAGTGAGGGTTTCTGACCTGAAGCAAAAGCTTGTGTGTCCAGGAGCAGCCCCCTTCCCGTAATAATGACCTCATGACCTCCCAGAAAATCCTTTTAAGATAGCACAGGGAATGGCCAACCCCATCTCTCAGCAGGGCTGATTGTGTTACCTCGCAGGAGGACATCACCTCTACTCTCCCTCCAGAGGAAGATAGGTAATAATGAATAAGTAATGTCACTGCTTGAAACCAGTCGTGTTTCCGTAGGATGCTGTGAGCTGTGCCGCAGAGTTTCCATCCAACACCTGCAGCACTGAGCCCCACAGCCTTGCACCTGCGCAGCCAGGACACCGTTACAGCTTCTTGTCCAATTTCTTGTGGGTAGCGATTGCCACTGATACACGAACTGCCCTTAATCCTCTCCCCAGCTTTGTCCACCCCTTGCTTTGTAGCATTTAGTTGTACTCTATACATAGGACAAATAGAGCTCATTAAGACTCCTTAGTAGCTAGCAGTCATTTAATTAGCAAATAAACATCACCCAGCAGTATCTATGCACCAAACCTATCAGCCAAATCGTGCTGCAGCATCTGCCGCAGATCACAGCGTGCTCCAGCCAGCACAACTGGCATAACCAGCAAGAACAGCTGACAGGGAGGGCAAGAGGGACCTGGGGAAGTTACCCCAGGAATGTACCAGGGAACCCCCCGCTGCAACATGGAAGATGCTTGTCCTGCATCCATCTGCTGCAGTGCAGGGGATGCTCGTCCAGCATTTCTCTGCCCTGCCATGAACTGGGAGTGCTTTCCCCTTCCCTCCCCCCCCTTTTTTTTTAATGTTTCCCAAGATTAACTTTCCCCATCATGACCCCTGTCTACCACAGGCTGCAAATAAGCATTCGTTTGTGTGAGCCTGGCTCAGCACACCTGATAGGAGAGCAGCGTGCCCTTCCCAGACCAGCAGCCCACTACTCTCCTGCATGCCTGCCCCATCAGCAGCACCCGATTCCCACCGAGCACTGACTGCTGTCTTGGAGAAGCAGCTCCCCTTGAACACACCTTCCCACACCTCAGTCCTGCTGTGCCACATAGTCAAAACCAGTATAGTACAAACTGCTGGAGGCACCTCATGCTGTTAGCTAAACATTCACTGATACCTGCTGGCATTGCTCGGCGATACCATTGCTATCAGTCACTGCACTGCTACCGTTTCACCTTGCACAGTTCTTATCGAAATGCCCAGCATCGAAGCAGGTCCAGGAACAGACCTCCACAATTCCCATTGCTCTGACAATCCTCCCAGCCAAGGTCAGCCTGAACTTCCCATACACACAACATTTCAAGATCCTTTTCCAAGTACCGGGCAAACTGCTACAGACATTGTCTCACCCGTGATTCATTGCTGCGTGCCAAGGAAAAAAATCTTAAATAAATTGGCCTCGCATGAACTCTATTTTTTTTCTAGCTTCATTGCTTAAAACCCAAATGTAGTCAGCTATGATTTGCATGGTTGGGTTTAGTGATTCAGCCAAAGCCAGTGCTTCCCCAGCTCTTCTCTCTGTGCACCTGAGTGCATCTCCTTGCTGTTAAAACAAACCACATGAGTGTTACCCAGAAATCATCTGCTCCTGGGGCTGCAGCACAGGGACCGAGGCCAGAGCCCCATCGGCTTTGACGAGGAATCTCTGAACTCTGGGATGAGTACCTAATCAGTCTCGAAACCCTTCCTCCAGCAGCTGAAGCAAACCCATTTTGGGAGGCTGAGCTCATCAAGCTGACCCAGAGACGTTGAGTCCCAAGGGGACACCATCCAGCCTGGAGCTGTGGGTCCTGAAGGGACAAGCCTGGCTGCTGTGGCCCCGGAGAACCCAGGGTGCCAAGGGGAAGGAGCAGATGCCCGTGGCGGGGGCACCCCGAGGCAGCTGCCACAAGGTGGCACTGGCACCTTGTCACCCAGCCTGGTGGCATCCAGCCAGAGAGGCCCCAGAGCTGGGGGCACCCAGGGCATCCCCCCAGCCCTGCCGCGGGCTCTGGTCCGAATTTAACTGCAGGGACAGACAGGAGGAGCTGGTGACAGATCAGAAATCAGGTGAATCATGATCACTGCAGCAGCTACATCTTGCAGGAGGGGTTTTTTGCCCTTTAGGGTTGTCTGGATTAGAGAAAAGCAGCATTTTTTTCAATTTTTATGACATGCCACCCTGTAACAGAGTTGTTCCCAAGGGTCACAGCAGCAGAAGAGACTCTGGGGTCACCAGATCCACCCCAGCCACCCCCTGTCCCAGGAGGACCAGTGGCCATCAGGAGAGGCAAGACCACATCACCGGGGAGGTTTGGGGTACCACACTCACCATTCAGCACCCTTCCCATCACCCCCATCCTGGCCCTGGTGTGAGTGGCTGCTCTGCAGCTCATCCCCCCGGAGGAGCCGGAATTAGAGGAGGACAAACACCGCGAAAGTGGAGAAAACCCAAGCATGGTATGTGCTTGCACAAACCAACCCGGCGGATTGTTGCTGTCTCGGCTGTCCCCACCTGGCCCAATTCCCCTGAATTATTTGCAGATAAAGGGTTTATTTTCCTTTCCCAGCGCTGCAACCACAAGACAAACACAGTGAAGCCTCTTGAGCTACTTCCTGCTTGGGCAGAGTGCCGGGGGACGTTGGTGGCATTTGCTCCCATGTTCCCAGAAAGCCCAACCGGCACCTCATGCCCGGCTCAGAACTGACAGCGGGCTCAGCCCCAAAGCAGGCAGCCCCCGAGGGCTCCCCAAAACTCCTTGCCTTGGGTTCTGTGCCCAAGCCGAGGGCATGGGAAATCAGGAATTGGTCGCTGAGCTGCTGCCATCCTAGTGCCTCCGGTGCCAAGGTTTCCAGCCCTACCCCAAACAAGCTCACATCCAGTATTATTTTTTGGATTAGGGTTTGGCGTCACTGTTTGGGCTCAGGCATCGCAGCCTTGTTTAACCTCTGAATGCAGGCGGAAAGGCCCCTATGGGCCAGCTAATCTAGCTGCAATTAAAGATATTAATTATGCCATTATTAACAGGTTAAGACGTGCGAGGGACTGGGTCACCGATGCTGCCCCACAGCCTGTTTTGAAAGACGGGGACGTTTACTGTCCTGGACACCAGCCACGCCACAGGCCAGTCCCAAACCCAGCCAGCTTAACAGCAGAGCTGAAGCCAAGGACCCCAGCAGCACCCGAGAACATCCCCTTCCCGTCCGCCGCTGCGCCCTTGCCCCGTGGAAAACACATTTGGGACCTGCGGTACAAAAGGCCAAAGCTACAGCCGACAGCAGGAAGGAAGCAGGAAAAACTCCGGCATCACCGTCCGGAGCCCGGAGAGACCTTTGGGGACATGCAGAGCCAGATGCCTCCGGCCAGGCTTGGGCCATGCTCGCAGCGTGTGCCCGTGGCTCAAGCGATGCTCCCTGGATGGCAGCGGGGAGGAAGCATCTCGTGTCCTGGGATGAAGGCTGCGATGTCACCAAGGAGTTGCCCTTGATGCCACCTCGGCAGCACACAGGGAGCAGGTTTAGCCCTCACCGCATCCCCTGGGCTCTGGCAGCCAGGGCAGGGCACCAGCATGCAGGGGTGCCCTACAGGTTGCCCCCGGCACCAAGAGAGCACTTTGCTTGGAGAAGAAGCAAACGCAACCCCACTGGAAACCACCACCTCCTTTAATTCCCCGCCAGAAAAGCGGGGCCCAGCCCAGCTCAAAAATTACAGGGTTTTAGCACCAGAAAAGCCCACTAGTCCATGTCACGAAGCTGCTGGGAGCCCACGGAGGTCAACGCTGGCTGATCTGAGCAGGGAAATGGTAAATTTTTCTCCTTGAAGACCCCTGCCAGCCTTGGCAGGCCACGGTGGGAAAGAAGCTGCCTCTGCCATCCCCATCCCCCACAGGGCTCAGCCGAGGTGGGTGTGCGGAACCGGGACCTGCCCACGGGTCGCACCCTGCCAGCTCCTGCCAGACGGGAGCTGTGGCCCAGCTAGGATGTCCCCACGCTGCTCACACTGGGGCTGAGCACCTCCATGGGAGTACGGGGGGTGGGGGGGCAGTTTCCCAGCAGTTTTGGGGCCAGGCTGGCCAGCAGCTCTGCCCCATCCTGCAAGCAGTGGGATGCGCAGCAGCGACGTGACCCCAAACCCACCAGCTCCCGGGGACCAAGGTGTCGGGACCGGGCTCAGATCATGGAGACCCTGTTCTTGATGTAGACGTGGTACGGGTCGCTGCGCTTGTCCACTTTGCGGGAGCGGGTGTAGCCCAGGATGAGGCTCCCCACCGTGACGGCAAAAAGCGTCATGACGAAGAGGATGTACATGTAGGCGTTGTCATTGCGGCCGGGATGGCTGGTGTGGGTGCTGGCGTTGCGTGCGATGGTGGCGGGGCGGTCAGTGGGACAGAGGATGACCCCATGCAGTGTCTGGTTCAAGGCATTAAGCACTGCCTGGAGGCTTCGGTGCCAGGTCTCTGTCCGGTTGTCCTCCTCCATGTCCTCCTCCAGGCTGTGGGGAAGGACAAGGAGGCTCAGCTGGGGCTGCCCTCGTGGTAGCAGTGCCTCCGGGACAATGCCAGGGATGTCCCGCCGGACCCAGCGATGACCCCACAATGATCCTTGAAGTGTCTCCTCTGCCACACAGCAAGGGTAGGAGCAGGGGTACCCAAACCCTTTGCATTCGTGGCAGACTTCTCCCCACATTTCACTCCTCCATGGAGGGAATAAAGCACCCAGACCTTCGGGGCAGCTGCCTGCCCCCATCTCTTCCCTGGGGCTGGGGACAATGCGGGGACACAGCTGTCCCAGGGTGCCAGGATGGTTTTGTTCAAAGCCTGCTCCCCACAGGGATGCATGGTGATGGTGGGCACCACCTGCATCTTGCACCCTTCCAGGTGCAGAGCCAGCACCCAAGGGACCCTGGGGGGGCTGTCTGGGGTCCCCCACCCTAAATAACAGCTCCGGGACTGATCCTGCCATGCATCAACCCCACTCGCTCCAGGCCAGGTCCCCCCCAGGTGAGCAGGGACCCCCTTTTCTCCCCGTTGGTCCTAGCCCAGGGCCAGGAGCCGCAACTGCCCTGGCAGAGGGGCGCAGCTCCCCACACACCCCTGTGGACCCATCCCAAGGGGTCACTGCCCTAAAACCCCCCTGGGGACTTTCTCCCCATGGGTCCCAGACCCCCTCTGACCCCCCTCACAGTGCCCCTCTGCCAGCCCACCCTGGACCCCCATGTGCCCTCACATACCCTCGTGTCTTGCCAGGGCCTTGGAGCAGGTGCTGGCCGGGAAGGGACACGGGAACACGGTCCCCCACGTGTGCCATCCTTCGGGACACACCGGCCCCACAAACCACTGTTGTCCAGTGTTAAATCCCCCAGGGTAGCCACCCCGTCCCCCCCTGCTCCCGAGCACCCCGTGCCTGCAGCACTGGCAGCTCTGCCTCATGCCCCGGCAGCTGACCCCCCCCCCCCCCAAAAAAGGTCACCCCAAACCCAAGGTGCATTTCCCAGGACGAGACCCCAGCAGCAAGGAGGAGGAAGGGGCTGAGCAGCCATGAGCCCACAGGGATGGACTCGGACCCGGCTGTCTTCCCGACTTAGAGACAAGTTTGAAGCAGGAGGAGGCTGAATTTGGGAGATTTAGGGCAAGATCTGGATTTATCCAGGAGGGGATGCACAGATGGGCTGCGGCATGGGGGGAACCTCGCGTTGGGGGGGGATAGGAACAGAGAGGGAAAGGGAGGACTGGGGAGGTGGGAAGGGGGGATCGCACTCACCCGGGGTGCCCTCCCTGCCTGTGCTGCTGCCAGGCTGAGCCGGGACTGGAGCATCGCGGGGCGGTGGCGAGGGATGCCGGCTGGGCTGGGAGTGCCGCACAGCCTCCTCCCCTTCCCGGGGCAGAGCCACCTGCCAAAGCCACCCAGCCCCGACACGGGCCACCAGCCTGTGCCCAACCCCACAGGTCCCACCACAGCCCCCTCGCCCTGGCCGGATACTAGAGGCCTTATGGGGTCAGGAGAGCCGGACCCTGCGTTTCCCTCTTGGCACACGCTGCCGGTCATGCTTTCCTGTCCCTCCTCCGTCCGTCCCTGCTGTCCCCAAGCCCTCGCACCAAGCACCAAGCCTGCCTGGGGTGCCTTCGTCCCTGCTCACCATCCCTTCCCAGAGCTGAGCTGGCTCCATGAAATAGGATTTCCCCCCCCAAAGCCCCCCCCACCATGGCCCTTCCAGCCCCATTGCTCCCAGCACAAAACCCCTGGGGGCTGTGGGGTGGGTGCCCACGGGCAGGCACCCATGGGTGGCTCATGGGGACCCACCAGCACTGCGCAGCGGCAGAGGTACCCCAAAGCTTGTGGGGCAGAAAGAAGGCCTGGAGCAGTGGGGGGGGAGCTGCAGGTGGGGGTCAGGTCCTGCTCTGAGCAGGGCGTGGGGACTTTATTTGCCATTTTCCATTTCTCCTGACCCCAAAGCATCTGTCTGCCTGTGGGGCTGCTCCCAACCGCCCATGGTCAGTGACTCCGACACAGGCTTCGGGTCTGCCAGCAACCGGGGTGACTCAGAAATGGCTGTGGACGTGCCACGCACCAACAGGGCAAGGTTTCGGGGAGCCCAGACTGGGTGCTGCCCCTCCTGCCCATGCAACGGGAGAGCCGCAAGCATCCCCGAGGGGTGGCAGGCAGCTCTGGGGAGCTCAGCCTCGGGTTGGCTTCTTACCCCTTGAGAAACCTGTTGATTAAAATCAAGTTTATATGTGTCTACCTATAGGTTTGCATTGATGGGCACGGACCCCACTGCCATCGGGACCCCAGGGTGGCCATGTCCCTTCACCCGGGACGGTTGCTGCGAGCCCACACGGATGCTGCACGGCCAGGACAGCCATTTCAGAGGAGCTGATGCCGCCTGCACAGACCCGTGACATCTCCTCCAGCACCACGGACCCAGCAGAAGCAGGTCATCATTGCCCAGCCCGGACACTCAATCCCACGCTGCGTGGTCCCACGGGGTCTGGGATGGCTGCAGCTCCTCTCCTCGGGCACCCCAACCCCTTCCCCTCCTCCTCCCGCTTTCCCACCGTGTCGGCATCGCACTGGTGGCCTTTCAACCACCGTTTACAGCCTCTTATCAGCAATTTTCCACCCGCCCTGACACCATGGTGAGGATTTTTGCAGTGCGAGGATTTCTCTGGGCACAGGGCGAGAAAAAGGTCGTTATTCATAAAGTCTGGGGGTAAATAAACAAGCAAAGGATCAGCAGCCAAAGTTCCCAGCAACTCTCTTTATAGAAAACCTGCCTCTTTTTACGCAGCAATGATCCCTCTTCCTCTTGTCCAAAGGGTGTGCGAGCATTCACCCAAATTTCAGATTTTGGCGGGGGGAGGTAGAAAAAAACCACACAAAAGTGCCTGTTTGGCCATTTCCCCAGCGAGCGACGGGGACGTGGTACTGGTACCCTTGGAGGTCTCAGCCAAGGGATGGAGACCCGCGGGGCTGGGGAAAGCCACCCCGATGGCGGTATGGATGCTTAAGCAACAGCCCGAACCTCTGTGTCACTGTTCACACACCATCTATAGGCAAAGGCACGAGAGCTCTTGTCTTTGCTGTTCGTCAGCCACACCAAGGATTTGCCGAAACACCCAGCGGAGGTGCCGTTGGTTCTCCTAGTCCCCAGGGTCTTCCGAAAAGACCAAGGTGCAGTCGAACACCTCCTGGAAGGAATCGAGGAAGGGCTCGAGGACGTGGTCGACGGTGATGTGCCGCCCCAGCTCACGGCTCAGCGAGGTGACACCTTTCCCTTCCAGCCCGCAGGGGACGATGTGGTCGAACCAGGTGAGGTCGGTGCAGCAGTTCAGTGCCAGCCCGTGGGAGGTGATGTGGTTCCCGCAGTGCACCCCTAGGGGGGCCAAAGCATCCACCCATCAGCACCCATCCCCAGGGATGTCCCGGCGTGAGATATTTAGTGGCTGTGCTGCTCAGGCCACTATAAACCCCACTGCATGCCGTGCTCCCCGCTTCTGCCAGGGAAAACCCCTAACCCACAGGCAGACTCCCCGAATTCGGGGCAGGTGGGGTGCAGCATCTCCAGCTCCCTCCACCGCAGCCCTGCGTCCCCCAGCACCTCCCACCGCCGGGGTTTCAAGTGTGTGCAAAGGGGGGTCCGGGCTGCAGGATCCCCGCTCCGAGCCCAGGCTGCAGAGCCCGTCTGGGGGTGCAGGACTCCAGGAAGGGGTGCGGGATGTGGGGCTGAGGTGCGGGGTCTGCCTGGCCCGAAGGGGAACAGCAC